GAAAAGAGGGCTTTGAATTATTTCTATATCTTCACTTTTGTTCTTACAAAGGCTTGATTTGTAAGACAAGTACAGTTGTCTTTAATTCCTCAAAGAATTGGGTAGCAACCTGAATGATACAGAGGCCGTCCCACCCATCCAACTATACTATCCTCAATTTCCTTCTTTACATCAGGGAGAAGATCTTCAACTAAGATGGAAATCAAAAGATCCTATGTTCTAGATTTAGAGCTGTGTGTCTGTGGAGTGTTTCAGTAAATCCTTCCACAAAGCCTTCAGAATATTTCTTTCCCTCTGGCTACATAGTTTCATTTTAGCTTAGAGGAGAAAGCCTAAAAAAAGGTCCCATCAGGCTCTGAATGTCAACTTCCAATTTGGCCAATTTCCTACCATAGAGCTACCAAAAAAAAAAAAAAAATTCCTTTTGAATATCTTATCAGGTTTCAGCTGGACAAACAGTACATATTCCTAGCAGTACTGAACAACCCCATGAGGAAAAGAGGCATTCCCAAAGAGTGCAAAAAATATTATCCTCCCAAGATCCAGAGACACTCCCAAAGATAACAAAAAGAAAGAAAGCCTCAGACAATTCCCATGAAAGCAGACAACAGGGGTAGGACCCTGGCCGCACATGCAGTGCAACCCACATTTCTTCCCAGCCAAAATTTTTGGGGACCCCAACTTGGCTGTTGCCAAGCCAAGTTCTCAGGACAAAAGGTAGACAAACAAGAAGGCAATGGCTGTCCTTGGGAAAGAAGGGATCTACAACCAATGTGTACTCAAAAGCAAATTCACAATTTAAAGATCTAATTCTTATAAATGTTTTCTGCCTTCCAATCTGAATTTGGAAAGGAAGGGAGAAAGTGGAATTTTACCTTCCTCTGTTAACCAGGCACCACAGATGGAGACAGAGATGACAGAGCTGACTTTGGTAAGAATTCTTACCTTTGATGGCTTCTGCCAGTTTTCCTAGGATCCTGTCTGCAGTGAGTAGGGTGTCCCAGCTGGTCCCATCCTGGTCACCAAAAATTTTAGAGGAGGAAAAATCATTTTCCCTCTATGCTTTATGATGAATATTTGGCTGAGACCCCTTTTTTTCTATGATAAAAATGATAATATTATCTAGGTTAAAAGTTCTCCACCGTGGCCACTGTGATTCAAGATTATCTTTGGTAAGGTGAGCCTATTTGTCCAGCCCTAAAACAATATTTTATTCACCTGAGGTCTCAAGCGGACTCAGAACAACTTAAGTCAGACCCAGTCTGACTCTAGACTCAGTCCAGTTTCTAAGCTGGACCCAGTCAAATTGCAGACCAAGTCTGGTTTCTAAGTCAGATAATCTGATTTTGGTGAGTTTCTGGACTCAGTCAAGAAAAAAAAATGCTCTAATAAAATCTGGAAACTCAAGGAAAAGCTGCAGAGCTACAATCTGAGACAGACTTACTCACCACCTCCAGAGGCACCGGGAAAGCAGAGTTCAAGGGCTCAGCAGGTAACCAAGTCTGGTTGCTTTTGCTTCTTGGGGCCTTTGGGGGGTCTCCTTAAGTTCCCTCTTCTCACACCAGAGCTGTTAAAAGATAAACTGAGGCATATTAAAACTTTTAAGAGCTTGTTTAAGCAAAAACCAATTCGATTGGACAGCATCCCTCCTAGGAGATAGAAAGGAGCTCGAAGGGAATGTACAAAATGAGAGAACTTTGTAGGCAGAAGGAAGCAGAAACAAGGAAGTTATATTAGGTAAAAAGAAGGTTGGTTATTGCAACATTACTTTCGTTTAGGGGAGGACAGGGGTCTATCAGGCAGATTAACTAGTGCTGATCAGGCAATTCCTGATAGACTGGTTTGAGATTCCATTTTGGGGAGAGCCAAAACTGTAATTAAGTCTTGGTTTGGGATGTGGGGCTTAGCATAAGTGACTCCATTTGGGGCCTGTTGTCCTGTTTTTAAGAGCAGTTAGCCATAGACTCTGAAAATATTACATATTTTCCTTACATAAGGTGGAGATCTCATTCTCATAAACTGTGCACATATTCCATGTCCTCTGTAGTCTGCTAATTACCTAAGGGAAGAATTTATTCACCTTTAGGAACTCCACTGCCTAGCACTGAGCCTGGCACATCATGTAGAGAACTTGCAAAGCCACTCACATAACATGCAGCCTAGTTGTTGTTCCATTATCATACCTTATGAAATGGAGCACATATTATATGTGTCCAAGCAGACACACACAAAAATACATATAAATAGATTAGCAATATAATTTTTCTGAAGTCCTTCCATTATGCCGGTTCTAAACTCTGAGAACCTAAACAAAGTGTTTCTATATTCTCAAGAAAAAAATATCTATTCTTCCGTTTAGTTGGGGAGCAGTATAGTAAAATAAACTTTGGGGAAGGCAGACCTGCTTACATTTTGTATGCCTTTTCTTTTTCTCTGACATTTCTGTAGTGGCTCTGTTCTGATGGGCTGCATGGTGCAGTCACACAGGAGGGCATATTGACAACAGTGTGGGCAAGAAAAGAAGGGGGCTGTGTCCATGGGTGTTCCCTGAACCTCTTTTACTCCCCTTAAACTTCAGAGGCTGATGCTCAACCTCAGAAACTAGGTTTGGGTGTGGGCTACTCAGTGTGCAGCCTGACAGTGGGGATGATTCAGAGCCACGAGGCATACAGCACCTTGGAGAGCACCCCCATGATGGTGCTGGAGGGATACTGGAGATGGTGAAGAACCATGGGAGAATGAGCAGCTGTTAGGAATGAATATGTCTTATCTGGTCACTGCTCAGCCTAAAATCCTTCATAGCTTACTGCTGCTCTGGGTATAAAGTCCAAAATCCTTGCCATACCTCTCAGGATCTCCCATGAACTGATGGCCTCCTTCTTCAGCCACATGTGAGATGCCTTCTTCCACTTTCATTGCTCAGACCTACTGGCCTCTGGTAGTTCCTCCAACATGACTGGCTTTCCTGCTTGAGGGACTTTATGGAAACGGTTCCTTCCATGTGGAATAGTTTTCTTCTCCAACCTTCATCCAGTCAACTCCAACACGCTCTCCCCTGACCCCTCAAAGTTGGTTAGTGCCCCCAGGTTTAGATTCTAGCCCCCTCTACTTGCCCTTTCTCACAACTCATCACCTTTTCAACAGCTTGTCCATTGTGTCTTCTTCACTGGATGAGCTCCATGAGAGCGAACACCAAGTCTGTCTCACTCATCCCAGGAACTGCCATGCCTGTCCCCTTGCCAGATGGACACCAGACCATTAAGAAATATCTGTGAAGTGAACACGCATCTTAAAACTTTTAAAGATAACTCTCTGAGCCGACTGGGTGGTGCTACCAGAAACATGAGAACCAAATGGGTTCTGCCTGCTTTCTCTCTCTTTCAAACCCAGCTGGGAAGCAGGAGGATTGAAGGGCAGGCAGTAGAGGTGGGCATTCTGGGTGAGGAATCTCAGCCAGGGAGCCAGGCCAGGACTCTCCCTGTGAAATAGGAATGTTTTCAAAGAAGTGACCCTCTGCTGGAATCCCTCAGTTCCAAGGTGGCCATTAACTTTGAACTGTTATGCAGCGTGAATAATTTGCCTGTGGAAAAAATTTAGCACTAACAGTAGTGCTACTTTCGTCATGAGAATCCTAAAATCCTGACTAATCTCGGCTGGACTCAGTCCAGACTGTGCCATTTCCATAACAGGGAAGTATAACCCATAGCCACACCAGCAAAGCCACCCCTTAACAAACAAAGGACCTGAGTGCTTTCAAGGAAAAAACAATGAGATCCTCAGGAATCAGGAACCCCTAAACTGATGACTTGGGGAAACAATTTGGCTAGAACTAAATTATTAAAGTTGTATTTAATGTAATCAAATTAAACTTCTATATCTGGATAAGTTTTGCCTTCTGGGTGTGTGTCACTTGGTCAGTCTTCTCCAAATCATTAAATTCACTCATTTAATTATCATTTGAGGGCCAGAAATCAAAGTGAAAGAAGGGTTTCTATCCAAAAAGACCTTATTGTCTATTCAGAGAGACAGACATGAGAAAATAAGTGAAACAAAGAGCTAGAGGAATGACAATACACTTATAACTTTCAAATTCCAAATGATACTTTCAGCCCCTGCACAGAGGCAGACCTTGAAGAATCCAGTGCAGCTTCCAGAGCACCAGTTCTACATATTTTGGGCCCCTTGCATTTAATATTGGCTCAGGGGTTCTCAGTTTCCCACGTAACCTATATCAATGTCTTCTCTGAATAAGCAAGCATGAATGCCAAAGCGTCTTAACCCTACTAATTATAGCAAGCTTAGTGACTTTTCTTAAACTGCCTTACCTAGAAACTCAGTATTCTTAGTATACTCAGTGTTCCTACCAGATTATCAAACACTGTAAAAGATACAGTTTGCCTGACACCATTTCATGCAGGTTCTCTGCTCAAAGACTATAATCCTAGTGTTTGTCTTTCAATTACTTTATACATAAAATGTCAACTTGACCTCTATTACATGACACATTTAGATTTACCTTACCAAAAATTAAATTCCAGCTATATTACTAATAGTGGTATTTTAATGACACAGTTATGAATTGCTAATTTGCATAATTCTATCCATATGACCATGGTGACTGGGGCAGGGATTGACACATGGTTTAGAGGAAATCATGGGATGGTTCAGGATCTACTGGAAAGAAATGCTGTCTTTTTTTGACTCAGCAGGAACCTGAGAAGATGCAGGCCTACCATTTGCTATTAGCAGCAATCCTGCCACCAAACACGGCCCCAAATCAAAGAAACCTTAAAGAAGAACAGAGCTGATTCCTAATGCCAGTTTGAGCACCCGTATCAACCCCTACTGAGACCACTCGACACCTGGCCTTGAATGTAAGTGAGCCTAAAATTCCTTCAAGTCCATGAGTTAGGTTGGATGTGACTTGCAAACCAAAGAGACCTAACAGACTTAGTCTCACAGAAGGAACAAGGCAGGAAGGACACTGCAGACAGGACAAGTATAAGTCACTCTGTATTTATTTGGTATTCAATGCACTTCCCTTTCCAGAGAGAAATTACAGAGTCTGGAGTATCCCATTTTAATAAATACCCTGCTTCTGGCTTTGCATCCCGAATTTTTATGCCCCTTAATCAATGTTTGGTACCGTCACATACAGTGGTTAAAATTTTTCCCTGAGATTGTAAGGCTGTGCCTTTGTCCACAGAGTATCTTTCCCTCCAAAATTCAAGAGAAAAGTAGGAAACGGAAAGTCTTCTGGTGGTGGGAGAGGTGGATAACTTAGGTAGAATTCCTGAGAAAAAGGTGTAGAGTCAACCACACCACTAATTAATATTTCCCTGGCTGTGAACTCTTATCCTTTCAACATCTCCAAACATTCTAGAAGGGAAATTGCATAAAAAGACACTTTATCTCAATGCTGTGTGCAAAGCAGGTTGGCTTCTGGTAACTGCCAGAGCAGTCTTGATGTCTCAGTGTCCAGTAAAGTGCAGAGCTAGTGAGGTATGGACAGCCTTCCCCAGGGGCATATGGGAAAGAGAAAAACCCGGACATGGGTGATGAGAAAAAACTGTTATCACACTATACACTTAGTCAGGCCTGCAACGTTTTTCAAAATGGTTTAAAATCAAAACAGCTCATGATCCTCCACAAGCAGGAATGGGGAGAGGCTTAGTGGATTATCATCTCAAATCAAGGCAGCAAAGCATAAGGCAAATGGACATGAATCTTCCAGTCTTGGTGCACTGAGAGTCAGTTCTGAAGAAAATGCAACTTCAGCAGGAAATCACCCCACTGGGTTGCAAGAAATCACATGTGGGAAGGAGCCAGCTTGCCAGGATCAGTCACTCTTAGATGGTGTTGTCAGTCCTCCACCCAAGATCTCCCTAGAGTGGCACAATGGATTGACTGTGTTCCTTACTGAGGACTCCCCTTTTTAAAAATAAACAAGCAAAAGTTTCCCTAATCTGACCCACATTCAACAGTGGAAGAAGGCAGCAGTTCCTGGGGAAGGAAGAGTGGGAAAGGAAGCCGGGAGTCAGGCAAACACACTTGGGGACAACCTGCTGGAGAGCGTGCAGGCCTCTGAGGACAAAAGAGGACAAAAACGTGACAGGCAGGCTGAGCGCTGGCGGCTGTGGCACTTCCGGAGACATCATTCCATGGACACAAGGCTCCCAATTCCCTCCCTTAGGTTTTCTTGTGATAGTTCTGACAGGCTTTCGTCATGTCTTTCAAGAAGTTAGGAACTCCTTTCTGCAAAGGAAAGGAGACTGTCACTTCTATGCCCTCACAGGGATTATTCCTAATTCTTCAGGATGTGGCAAAGGTAAAGGAAGATGGCTTTGGGAGTAATAAATATGACAATAGGGCCCATGAGCAGATTTCCACAGAGCGTTCCAACCGATGATGACAAAAGGTAAGATGCAGGGCACAGGTAAGGCTGAACCGCAGGGGCCACTGTTATAAGACCTTGTTGTATATTTTAACTTTTGCTGATAAGAAGCTAAGATATTTCTAAGACACCATTTTTTCAAAAGAAAAAGAAAACCCAAAAATGAGATCGGGTTAGGCTGTGGGATTCTTCCAAAGAAGTTAGAGAAAGGACTTGCTTTACAGAATTAGAAAATGGTAAGGATTGGGGGCAAGAGGCAGGATATGCCATTCTTTAGTTAGTGTTGAACATTGTTCAAGACTTTCTCCAAACATTGTTCTATTTACTCCTTCTCTACAGGGTGGGAATATCCATCTCTATTTTTAAGAGGGAAGAAATTGATGCCTTCCCTAGATTACACAGTCAGAAACAAGGCCAGGATTCAAAATATCATGTTTGACTCAAAACCTATGTGCTTTTTCACTCTCCCAGGGAACTGGTGAGCCTTCCAGCCAGTAAGTAGGGCCTTATAAAGCAGACTGAATGGTCGGCATGATTCCAGGTCCTAGGCAATTTCTAGTGATCTGGGTACCACTGTGGTTCCCTCTCCTTACAGAAAAACAAAATAACCATAAAAAAAACTGAAGGCTTCCCCAGGCTTGGACATGGCTGGTGTCTCCTGGGCCAGGTTGGCCTGTCTAACTCCTCCATAAGCAGATAGAGGATCCACAAGCACCACTGTCCCTATTGCGATCTACTGTGATCCTGGTGCGGGGTCTCAGAGCAAAGCAGGGAGGGCTGACATTCCAGGTAAAGATTATTTGACTTTTGTCCCAGCCTCTGTGCTGGGTATTGGTAACCCCAGTCCTAATCATAGTCACTCAACAGAGCTGTCTCATAAAAGAGCATCATGAGGCCTGAGACAGCACATCTCTTCAGCCTGACAGCCCCAACATTTGTCACACACACTTCCCCTCCTGCCTCCTGGGATCTCACCTTGGCAGCCCAGTTAATGAGCCAGGACGGAATTTGGCCACCTGGGTTATCGAAGTAATACATGAAAACTAGGGAGGGAAAGAAAGGACAATTCAAAAGGAAGAAACATGTTAGAAAGATACAATAACAAACCCTGCAAACATTCCACATTCATATCCAAGTCCAGAAAGTAAGGAGGGAGGTAACATGGAATTCAGGTGGACTCGGCCCTCTGCCTTGCCTTACAGGAGACTTACATGTAAACATTCTGAAAACAGCCAAAGCACATTCTGCTGCTATTTATTAAACGCCTGACAAGTACTAGACACTTGGATATAGCCTCTCATTTTATTATTTCTCTCACTAATCATCTCAGTCCTGAGGAGCTGATAAAATTGAACCCCAGTTTATAAATGATAAAATGGAGACTCAGAAGAGTGGGGTGACATGCCCAAGGTGGCAGATCTAACACATGTCACCACTAAGTTCAGATTTTGCCACAGCCTCAAGGCCACACTGATTCCAGTCCAGCAGGTGGCCGCATGGACCCCTCCCAGCCTCTCTCCAGAGGCTGGAACTCAAGGCAGGCAGGTCCTGAGTCCCTGGGTTTTTGCTGAGCAGGAGCTGCCTCCTCAGAGATGGTCCCACCAGCCCTCCTGCCCTGCCTTGGCCAGCATGTGCATGGACAGGACCAGCCTGAACTGAGTTTCTAAACATTTTGATTCCCTTGGATGTTCTGATTTCATCTGGACGATGCAAGAGTCAATAAAGAATGAATTGATCAGATTTAAACATCCACGCTGCGTTGTAGCCAAGCTTCTGTGGTGAATTGAGTCTCCCTTGTTTCTTTTGCACCCATGCCTAAGTCTCTGACCTCAGGGAATAAGCATCCTGCATTTTATGTGCCTTGCAGCCAGTGTGGCCTTACATCGGTGGCCCTGGCTGGTGCGCCAACACGTGCCCTCTTTTTACCTTTGCTCCCCCTCTTGCCATCGCTCTGGATCGCCAGGCTCTGCTTGTACTGCTTCACCCGAATCACGCCCGACTTCTCTGGAAACTGTGGCATGGAGGTGCTCTGGGCCAGGATCACGTGGATCTTCTGTCCTTCATGGTCCAGCTCTCGCCGCTGCCGCACATAGACGTACCACACCACCAGTCAAGGCACAACATCAAGGTCAGCACCTCAGATGAGCAGAAGGAAAGCCCACAAGCCAGAAGCAGAGGGAGATAATTCTGTTCCTCCACTTGGTATTTGCTCCCTTGCACTGTTACTTCACTTCCTGCCCTATCTGCCTACCTGCCCTGCAAAACCATAGCTCCTCCCAACTGGTGTTCTTATTTGAGAGCGTGTATTACCCACCTGTGAATGGTTCCCTGCTGCTTTTAGTTATGTGGGGAACCCACTCCTCGTTTCTCCAAGATGGCAATGAGATTTCAGAGGACTGGTCACTTATCAGCTGTGTGATCCTGGTTTGGTTACTCAACTTTTCTGAGATTGGTTTCCCTCTGAAAGAAAAGAGGGTACCACTGCCCTGCAGGCAGACTTGGTGTGGGCTCTAGAGAGAGACTAGAGCAGAAGCAGCTCTCAGTAAACAATGGGGCCATTGCTCTTTGTCCTCTCCCTAAGCCCTAATCACTGACCTCTATGCACAGAGGATGGTCAGGAAGGGTTACTTACACCTGGAGATCACAGGAAGACACATGAATACCTGAATATTTAGTAGGCAGATGCCCTTGTTGATTCTGGTTCACCAAGAATCATGAAGCCATTTCAACTCAATAAACACTTACAGAATAACCACTATGTCTGTGGCACTATTATAGGGAAGATGATTTGATTTTAAGAAACAACAAGAGTCACCACTTATTGAGCCCTTACCACGTACGTGCATCGTGTGCTTTACAGTTAGCATCAATTTTGATCCTGAGAAAGTCCCTGTGAGTTCAGCATAAGTATCCCCATCTTACAAATGACCAAATTGAGGCTCAGAGAAGTAAAGAAACTTGCTGAAGATCCCATAGCCCAGCTGAAGTGATGGAACCTGAACTTGAACCACGATTAGGCTCCAAAACCTGGTGAGATTTTCATAGCTACAGAGGGCTCGGCTCTTTAATGTGTTCATTAGACTTTCCAATAGTAGAATTTCAGGTTTCACAGGAGAAGGAATTAAAGCCTAAAATAATCCAAACAATCACTGTAAGTACAACACAGTTACACTTTTACTGCAACAGCCGCGACCACAGCCCCAGGCCAGCTCCGAGGCTCTACAGCACCCACGGTGGGCTGCCCCTCCCCCAGGCACCTGCAGGATGGTCTATTGCCCCCACTCTCTATGCACTGATGAGTAAAGCTCTTGAATGTTTGAGGGAAGGAATGAAGTTGCTTTAGCTCTGGATTTCCTCTCTCCGAAGTCTTTTATTTTTTCCTCACAGCAAACATGGTCCCACACCTTGCTTAGCTCATGTGATGGACATCACCTGACACTCCACTGAGGAAAAATTAACTTGATATATTGACTGCCATTTCACAGAGTTCTTTGAAGGGCTGGAAGGTCCAGCATGGCACACAGTCTATGAGTGGAGAGCCAATAGTTTACTGAGGCCCAGAGAAGTGAAGGGCATTATCCAAGGTCACAGACCAAACCAGGAAATGAGCGCACACTTAACCTGGGATCTTTCCCTCCAAAACTAATGTTCTTTTCCATTACACTGTTCTCTAATCTAAAAAATTGAATAGCCCTTGTTGGAGAGACATATGTGTATATACAAGGACTAAGAAACTCATTACGGGACTGTGTGGCACTAGAAAGACAATGAAACCAAACTTCAAGGAGCACCAAGTGTCCACTCCTGAGAACAGCCCCCAGCAGTATCCACATGAGGTCAGAAAGTGGTGTTGCCCTGGTCCAGATCACCTTCTCGGGTCAGAGCTGGACCTGGGCCCAGGCCTGCCTCTGCCGCCCACCAGTGGTGAGAAACTGATGAGAACCTGAGCAGGGCTCTGAACTTCCCTTTGCCTCAGTTTCCTTCCCTGACTGATGGGGATGATGGCTCCTACCCTGCACACTTGTTGGCAGGAGGAGAGAAAACCACATAAAATCTAAGGGATTAAGTAACCACAATTTCTTGAAATACCTACCACCTGTATTTAGCAGTCTGTGGGAATTGTGCCAGAAATAATCCCTATGGAATCTGTAATCTAGCTGGGCCAGGGCAGACACATACACACAAAACACACAGAAACAATACCCACAAACCACCCCCATGCCCCCTCTCTTTCTAAAGAACAATTATTTAGGAACATACAGACTTACAGAATGTTAGACCTAGAAAAGATTCCAGCGATCATCCAGTTCAGTGGTTTCCAAGTTTTTTTTTTTCTTTTAATTCCACAGACCCTTTGTTAAAAGGATTATTTATGAAAATTCAGTGTGTAAAACATTCAGCTGCTATGATTGAAGAGAACAGTGGAGTGGAAATCTCACCTGTCCCCACCTATATTCTACCCCATCTGCCCACCCAGCAAATGTCCATCAAACATCCCCAGGCTGGCCTTAAGGGGGCCTCATAGAGCCTTGGAGTGTCAGCTAAGACTCCTCACATCCATTCAACTGCTTCATATCGTATTCAAGGAAACTGAGGGGAAGAAACATACACACAGTGTCCAGATCCATTATTCGCGGAGGAAGGGAGGTGGAGGGAACTGGAAATGTGGGGCCTGAGTCCCAGCCCCCAGTCTGCTGTTAACCACCTGAGTGTGAGCCTCTGTCACATTGCCTCTCTGGGTCCCTACTTCCTCTCCTATAGATTGAGAGAGTGTATCGAATACTCTTTATGAAAAGTTGTTTTCAGGTCCCCAATTCTCTGGCACAAGGATTTCCTAGAAAACTTTTCAGGAGAGTTTGAGCTGCCCTCCCGTGACCACAATTACAGATGCTCCATGTGGTCAGGCCTGGAAATCTGAAAGCCACACAGGAAGCAACAGCTGTAGCAGATGTCTCTGCAAGAGTCAAAGACAATACTGTCCACACCTGCTGGACATAACACCATTGGGTGATGGCCATGGGGCACAGAAACACTTCAAAAGCTGAGTATCGGTTTGCTTTTGGAAAGGATACATCTCTGTTAGACATGGGAAAAGGGTACTTGACTTCCCAGTACACCGCTGCTTCTCCATTGCATTCTTTTTCATAAAGTTCTAAAAAGAAAAAGAAAAAGAAGAAGTGATTGCATCTAGAAGCCTCTTTGGTGTCTATTAACAAGAAGCTTTGCCTCCCATCAGGAAACTTGCACAAGCCTCTTAGATAGCCTCATCCACCAGAAGTCAGACAGAAGAAACAAGATGAACTACAATCCTGCAGCCTGTGGAACAAAAACCACATTCACAGAAAGATAGACAAGGTGAAAAGGCAGAGGACTATGTACCAGATGAAGGAACAAGATAAAACCCCAGAAAAACAACTAAATGAAGTGGAGATAGGAAATCTTCCAGAAAAAGAATTCAGAATAATGATAGTGAAGATGATCCAGGACCTCGGAAAAAGAATGGAGGCAAAGAACGAGAAGATGCAATAAATATTTAACAAAGACCTAGAAGAATTAAAGAACAAACAAACAGAGATGAACAATACAATAACTGAAATGAAAAATACTCTAGAAGCAATCAATAGCAGAATAACTGAAGCAGAAGAACGGATAAGTGACCTGGAAGACAGAATGGTGAAATTCACTGCCACAGAACACAATAAAGAAAAAAGAATCAAAAGAAATGAAGACAGCCTAAGAGACCTCTGGGACAACATTAAACACAACAACATTACATTATAGCGGTCCCAGAAGGAGAAGAGACAGAGAAAGGACCCAAGAAAATATATGAAGAGATTACAGTCAAAAACTCCCCTAACATGGGAAAGGAAATAGCCACCAAAGTCCAGGAAGCACAAAGAGTCCTAGGCAGGATAAGCCCAAGGAAAAACACATCGAGACACATAGTAATCAAATTGACAAAAATTAAAGACAAAGAAAAATTATTGAAAGCACCAAGGGAAAAATGACAAATAACATACAAGGGAACACCCATAGGTTAACAGCTGATTTCTCAGCAGAAACTCTACAAGCCAGAAGGGAGTGGCATGATATATTTAAAGTGATGAAAAGGAGGAACCTACAACCAAGATTGCTCTACCCAGCAAGGATCTCATTTACATTTGATGGAGAAATCAAAAGCTTTACAAACAAGTGAAAGCTAAGAGAATTCAGCACCACCAAACAAGCTCTACAACAAATGCTAAAGGAACTTCTCTAAGAGGGAAACACAAGAGAAGAAAAGGACCTACAAAAACAAACCAGTAACAATTAAGAAAATGGTAATAGGAACACACATATTGACAATTACCTTAAACATGAATGGATTAAATGCTCCAATCAGAAGACACAGGCTTGCTGAATGGATAAAAAAACAAGACCTATATATATGCTGTCTATATGAGACCCACTTCAGACCTTGGGACACATACAGACTGAAAGTGAGGGGATGGAAAAAGATATTCCATGCAAATGGAAATCAAAAGAAAGCTGGAGTAGCAATACTCATATCAGATAAAATAGACTTTAAAATAAAGAATGCTACAAGAGACAAGGAAGGACACTACATAATGATCAAGGGATCAACCCAAAAGAAGATATAACAATTATAAATATATATGCACCCAACATAGGAGCACCTCAATACATAAGGCAACTGCTAACAGCTATAAAAGAGGAAAGTGACAGTAACACAATAATAGTGGGGTACTTTAACACCTCACTTAAACCAATGGACAGATCATCCAAACAGAAAATTAATAAGGAAGAAACACAAGCTTTAAATGACACAATAGACCAGGTAGATTTAATTGATATTCATAGGACATTCCATACAAAAACAGAAGATTACACTTTCTTCTCAAGTGCACACGGAACATTTTCCAGGATAGATCACATCTTGGGTCACAAATCAAGCCCAGTAAATGTAAGAAACTGAAATCATATCAAGCATCTTTTCAGACCACAACACTATGAGATTAGAAACCAATTACAGGGAAAAAAACATAAAAAAACACAAACACATGGAGGTTAAACAATACACTACTAAATAACCAAGAGATCACTGAGGAAATCAAAGGGGAAAGCAAAAAATATCTGGAAACAAATTACAACAACAAAACAACGATCCAAAGCCTATGGGAAGCAGCAAAAGCAGTTCTAAGGAAGTTTTTAGCAATACAAGCCAACCACAGGAAATAAGAAAAATCTCAAATAAACAATCTAACCTTACACCTAAAGGAACTTGAGAAAGAAGAACAAACAAAACCATAAGTTAGCAGAAGGAAAGAAATCATAAAGATCAGAGCAGAAATAAATGAAATAGAAACAAAGAAAACAATAGTAAGGATCAATAAAACTAAAAGCTGGTTCTTTGAGAAGATAAACAAAATTGATAAACCATTAGCCAGACTCATCAAGAAAAAGAGGGAGAGGACTCAAATCAATAAAATTAGAAATGAAAAAGAAGTTACAACAGACACTGCAGAAATACAAAGCATCCTAAGAGACTACTACAAGCAACTTTATGCCAATAAAATGGACAACCTGGAAGAAATGGACAAATTCTTAGAAAGTTATAACCTTCCAAGACTGAACCAGGAAGAAATAGAAAATATGAACAGACCAATCACAAGTAATGAAATTGAAACTGTGATTAAAAATCTTGCAACAAACAAAAGTCCAGGACCAGATGGCTTCACAGGCAAATTCTATCAAATATTTAGAAAAGAGATAACACCTATCCTTCTCAAGCTCTTACAAAATATAACAGAGGGAGGAACACTCCCACACTCATTCTAGAAGGCCACCATCACCCTGGTACCAAAACCAGAGAAAGATACTGCAAAAAAAGAAAATTACACACCAATATCACTGATGAACGTAGATGCAAAAATCCTCAACAAAATTCTAGCAAACAGAATCCAACAACACATTCAAAGGATCACACACCATGGTCAAGTGGGATTTATCCCAGGGATGCAAGGATTCTTCAATATACACAAATCAATCAATTTGATACACCATATTAACGAACTGAAGAATAAAAACCATATGATCATCTCAATAGATGCAGAAAAAGTTTTTGACAAACTTCAATGCCCATTTATAATCAAAACTCTCCAGAAAGTGGGCAAAGAGCAAACCTAGCTCAACATAATAAACGCCTTATACGACAAAACCCACAGCAAACATCATTCTCAATGGTGAAAAACTGAAAGCATTTCATCTAAGATCAGGAACAAGACAAGGATGTCCACTCTCACCACTATGATTCAAGATAGTTTTGGAAGTCCTAGCCACAGCAATCAGAGAAGAAAAAGAAATAAAACGAATCCAAATCGGAAAAGAAGTAAAACTGTCACTGTTTGCAGATGACATGATACAATATGTAGAGAATCCTAAAGATGCCACCAGAAAACGACAAGAGCTAATCAATGAATTTGGTAAAGTTGCAGGATACAAAATTAATGCACAGAAGTCTCTTGCATTCCTATACACTAATGATGAAAAATCTGAAAGAGAAATTAAGGAAATACTCCCATTTATCACTGCAACAAAAAGAATAAAATACCTAGGAATAACCTACCTAGGGAGACAAGAGACCTGTATGCAGAAAACTACAAGACACTGATGAAAGAAATTAAAGATGACACAAACAGATGGAGAGATATACCATGTTCTTGGATAGGAAGAATGAATATTGTGAAAATGACTATACTACCCAAAGCAATCTACAGATTCAGTGCAATCCCTATCAAATTACCAATGGCATTTTTTTACAGAACTAGAACAAAAAGTCTTAAAATTTGTATGGAGACACAAAAGACCCCGAATAGCCAAAGCAGTCTTGAGGGAAAAAAACGGAGGTGGAGGAATCAGACTCCCTGACTTCAGACTACACTACAAAGCTACAGTCATCAAGACAATATGGTACTGGCACAAAAACAGAAATACAGATCAATGGAACAGTATAGAAAGCCCAGAAATAAACCCATGCACCAAGAGCCACCTAATCTATGACAAAGGAGGCAAGGATATATAATGGAGAAAAGACAGTCTCTTCAATAAGTGGTGCTGGGAAAACTGGACAGCTACATGTAAAAGAATGAAATTAGAACACTCCCTAACACCATACACAAAAATAAACTCAAAATGGATTAGAGACATAAATGTAAGACCGGATGCTATAAAACTCTTAGAGGAAAACAGAGGAAGAACACTCTTTGATATAAATCACAGCAAGGTCTTTTTTGATCCGCCTCCTAGAGTAATGGGAATAAAAACAAAAATAAACAAATGGGACCTAATGAAACTTAAAAGCTTTTGCACAGCAAAGGAAACTACAAACAAGACGAAAAGACAACCCTCAGAAGGGGAGAAAATATTTGCAAATGAATCAACGGACACAGGATTAATCTCCAAAATATATAAACAGCTCATGCAGCTAAATATTAGAAAAACAAACAACGCAATCAAAAAATGGGCAGAAGACCTAAATAGACATTTCTCCAAAGAAGACATACAGATGGCCAAGAAGCACATGAAAAACTGCTCCACATCACTAATTATTAGAGAAATGCAAATCAAAACTACAATGAGATATCACCTCATACCAGTTCGAATTGGCATCATCAGAAAATCTACAAACAACAAATGCTGGAGAGGGTGTGGAGAAAAGGGAACCCTCTTGCACTATTGGTGGGACTGTAAATTGATACAGCCACTATGGAGAACAGTATGGAGGTTCCTTTAAAAACTAAAAATAGAATTACCATATGACCCAGCAATCCCACTACTGGGCATATACCCAGAGAAAACCATAATTCAAAAAGATACATGCACCCCAATGTTCACTGCAGCACTATTTACAAGCCAGGTCATGGAAGCAACCTAAATGCCCATTGACAGACAAATGGATACAGAAGATGTGGTATATATATACAATGGAATATTACTCAGCCATAAAAAGGAACAAAACTGGGTCATCTGTAGAGACGTGGATGGATCTAGAGACTGTCATACAGAGTGAAGTAAGTCAGAAAGAGAAAAATAAATATCATATGTTAATGCATATATGTGGAACCTAGAAAAATAGTACAGATGAACTGGTTTGCAGGACAGAAATAGAGACACAGATGGAGAGAACAAATGTGTGGGCACCAAGAGGGGAAAGTGGTGGGGGGGGGGTGGTGCTGTGATGAATTGGAGATTGGGATTGACATGTATACACTAATACATATAAAATGGATAAGTAGTAAGGAGCTGCTGTATAAAAAAATAAATAAAATAAAATTCAAAAATTCAGAAGAAATTAAAAAAAGCAAGAAGCTTTGATATGATGATCCTGTAGGGATGCTAAACCACTCACTCATAAGGCACAGAATTCTAGAAAAAGTCAGGTTTACTACCACTGAAAGTCTGCTGCCCAGGGGCAGAGTCTAGTAGATATAAAAACAGAGTAAAAATAAAAGAACCCAGCAAAAATTGTTCATTATATAGCACAAACAACACTCTCAAAAAAATTCAGTGAAATAAAATTAGGCATTAAAAAATAAATTTTCAGGTTTAAAAGTCAGGGAAACCGGGCTTCCCTGGTGGTGCAGTGGTTGAGAGTCCGCCTGCCGAGGCAGGGGACACGGGTTCGTGCCCCGGTCTGGGAAGATCCCACATACCGCGGAGCGGCTAGGCCCGTGAGCCATGGCCGCTGAGCCTGCGCGTCCGGAGCCTGTGCTCCGCAACGGGAGAGGCTGCCACAGTGAGAGGCCCGCGTACTGCAAAAAAAAAAAAACAAAAAAATCAGGGAAACCACCAGATGTCACTAGAGTAGCAAATGTTTTACTGTTGTGTCCTTACGCCCCCCTCCCCCAACCCTTTAGATTTCTTGACATATTACAGGTGTCCTGGGACTGAGCGACCTAGTCTAGTGTGTTCAATTGGGAAACAAAGTTTCCAGAGAGGGCAGTGTCCTTTCTAAACAGCTAGAAAGCTGCTTAACTGTGCTAATCCTAACTTTCTTTCCTCTCTCCTATGTTGCTTTATACCACAGCTACAGGGACCAAATCTCCTTAATATCCACCATGCATATAGCGCATATAGCATCAGCTCTTGTAGGGAGATAGCAAAGGAATGCTATGAAGTGTGCAGCCTCTGTCCGCAAGCTGTGCAAAGGAATGCTATGAAGTGTGCAGCCTCTGTCCGCAAGCTGTGCAGGAAGCTTCTAACTAAGCATTTAGAGAAGGCGCTACACCAAGGCTGCTGAAGGAACCAAGAGAGTCCCTTGAGGAGATACTAACTGTGGCAATGTGTTAATTAATTTACCTTTTGAAAAAATGAAATCTATTAGAAGCAGACCATGGGGTAAAGAGCTTGCCAGCCCACTGGTACAGGAGGCTGAAGATGCCCTTGAAAGGAAGGGAAGGAGTAGACATCTGTTGCTTTGCCTGCTCAGCTTTGGCTCTCCTCTTCTTGGACCAGCATCTCATTCTCCTTTTTCTCCTTCACTATGCAGTTTAAGCAGAACTGACTCGGCGTTAATTATAGGGGTGGGATACTGAGCCAGACACGGCCAAGGTGATTAGTTTAGGGAAGGCATGTGTGGACAGAGTCTTGGCTTGCCACTCTAGCAAGTTTAGGCCAAAAAGTGTTTTATTAAAGGCTCTCATGCAGTTTACAGAAGATCTAGGAGGACCAGAGTTAGGTTAGAACCTCAGGATGGCTCCAGAGAAGCCAAACTACCGCTGTCTCTGGACTGTACTCCAGAGTGTGGACTGCTGATGCCAAGTACCACACATCAGACGCTCTTCCAATGTCTACAGCACACGACTGAACAATGTCTGCTAGAGGGATGGACAGAGAACTTGTGGCTTCTCCCTTGAATAAGTGGCATCACAATTCCCCCTAGATAGGAAGGCTATTTGATAGCACTAAGTGACCCAAAACCATGATAAATGTCCCAAGCAAGTAAGTATATGATCCATATTGAGGCTATGAGAGCCAACCCTGGGACTCTGGCTGCATCAGTAGGAAAGTTCCTATTCCTCTGGGGTTACGTACATGGTTAGAATGTAAGCCTGCACCCTCTGGTGGCAACTTTGCCATGACATAAGAATCTGCCTGAGAATGAGGTCAACACAGAAGAAAACACAGTCAAGCTGGAGATATAAAGTATTGGATGTAGCTGACCTGGAAGCCAGACAACTATGCACTTTTCAATTCCATGAACAACAACAACAACAAAAAAACGCTTTCTCCTTTTCTTACACTGGCATTTGTTAGTGCTTGGTTACTTGCGACTAAGATTCCTGACCACAGCAAGGGTGTGTCAGGGTTTCTGTGTCCCTGGGCTAGCTGCTGCATATCCATCTCGCTGTGACTGGGATGGCAGAGGCCACTCCCCACTCTAAGTGGCAGGAAGAGCCCCTATCTAATGCTTCTCATAACTCTCCCTCACTTCTAGTGAAAATCTAAGAAGTGTAGCCAGGTGGCCAGCCTAGGCCTTTGGGGCTCTGGACCCTCCTCCCGCCCTAGTTCCAGATTCTGCTACCCCAGCAACTCAATAGCACCCAACTGCTCACAATTTTTTAATATTTCATGTTGTTTCATGCCTTCCTCACTTTACTCATGCTATTCCTAGACCTCAAATGCCCTTTAACCACTCACCCCCTCACCCTCTCACCTCTTCACATATAGGTATTCTTGCCATTTATAAAACTCTGATTCAACCTCTAAAACAAAGCTTGGGTACCACCTCCTCCAAGAAGCTTTCCATGACCACCTAGGTTTATGAGATGAAAACGAACTTATAATAAGAACAAAGCAGCCCTCAGAGCAAACTGGAGAGTGACTCTAATAGTATGCAAGGAGCAAATCCTGAGATTAGCAAAGTCACATTTTAACCTAGAACTTTAAGACATATATGCCAAAATTAAAAATGAAACATAGTAAAAATTAAACCTTTTGCTTACTGCTGGCTAGAATAAATAACATTAGATTCTACTTTCTAACTGGTTTTGTTAAATTGTAAGTGTCACTCACCTTTAACATATTGGTCCCACTGTTTTCTATAGTCTAAGTCCATAAAGACATCTGCAAGTAGATCCGGTGAGCAATCCTCCAGAAAGCCAAAGACCTTATACTCATACAGTCCAGTCTGCTATAAAAACAGAACAGATAGAAACAACCTATTGATTCTCAGGTTGACATTACACAGCATATGAAAAACAGCTGTTCATGCAGCACCACTACTGAGCGCCTCCTCTTGGTCTTAGTGAAACAATAGTGAAAAAGCAGATGAGGAACCTGCTCTCGTGGGTCCTATATTTGGCCTTAGGCATTGGAGGTGGTGACAGCGCTATGCTATCCAGGTAATTTAAGTAGGATAAAAGAGGGTTATGTGATAAATGGTGTCTAGTTTTGGTGGGCTGGTGGTGCGTCCTATATCATCGGGTGTTCAGGAAATGTCTCTATGAGGGATTTATCAGAACGGTTTCTTCTAAATATTAGAAGGATCCAGCCATGGGAAGATGAGGAAAGCCCACTTCTGGTTGGGAGGGGGCCCGATGGTTTGCCTTACTCACAGAACAGAAAGTCAGGGGGTCCAGAGAACTGTGATGGGGGAGAGTGGTAAGGGCTGAGGTCAGAGAGGTAGTAGAGGCCATGCCCAAAGGGCTTTGTAAACCAGGGTAAAGGGGTGAAAATATTTTTATAACTGCTCTGGAAAACCAACAAATAATTTTAAATATGGGAATTACTTTAAATAGGCGATGACTTTTAAAAGATGATTCTTGCTTCTTGGTAGAAAATAGATCACAAGGGAGCAAGGAGATGGGTTAGAAGAGCGGTCCCCAACTTTTTTGGCACTAGGGACCGGTTTCGTGGAAGACAATTTTTCCACGGACCAGGGTGGAGGATGGTTTCGGGATGATTCAAGTACATTACATTTATTGTGTACTTTATTTCTATTATTATTACATTGCAATATTTAATGAAATAATTATATAATTCACCCTAATGCAGAATCAGTGAGAGCCATGAGCTTGTTTTCACTTGCCATTCACTGATAGGGTTTTGAAATGAGTCTGCAAGCAATTGATTTATTTTGGTCTCTGTGTAGTCAAACCTCTCTGCTAATGATAATCTGTATTTGCAGCCACTCCCCAGCGCCAGCATCACGGCCTCAGCTCCACCTCAGACCATCAGGCATTAGATTCTCATGAGAAGCACGCAACCTAGATCCCTCATGTGAGCAATGCACAGTAGGGTTTGCGCTCCTATGGAATTCTAACGCCACTGCTGATCTGACAGAAGGTGGAGCTCAGGCGGTAATGCGAGCGATGGGGAGTGGCTGTAAATACAGATGAAGCTTCGCTCGCTCACATGCCACTCACCTCCTGCTGTGCAGTGCGGTTCCTAACAGGCCACAGACCAGCACCAGTCCGTGGCCCGGGGATTGGGGACCCCTGAGTTAGAAGACCAGTGCAATGGTCCAGAAAAGAGATGATGGTGATTAGACAGGAAGGTAACAACAGTGGTGGGGAGAAGTCAGTGATTTAGGGACACATTTTGGAAGTAATGTCAACAGGGATTGCTGACAGACTGGCCGTGGGGACAGAGAAAACAAAAGTTGAGGATAATTCTTATAACACTTGCTTAAACAACCAGGTAGATGGGAGATCCATTTTCTAAGACAGAGAAAACTTGCAGAGGAGGTGATTTGTGGGCTGCAGGGTAACCAAGAGTTCTACCTTGAGCAAGTTGAGTTTGAGAGGCTTATTAAACATCCATGTAGGGGTATCATATAGGTAGCTAGCATTCAGGGTTCAGACTACTGTTTTAGATATCCATGGGGCGTAATGAAACCCAACACATTGTTTTACCAATTCCAAGACAGAATTTTTCTATAAGTGACTTTTTTTTAAAGTCTTTATTGAATTTGTAACAATACTGCTTCTGTTTTATGTTTTGGGGTTTTCGCCACAAGGTATGTGGGATCTTAGCTCCCCAACCAGGGACTGAACCCTCACCCACTGCATTGGAAGGCGAAGTCTTAACCACTGGACTGACAGGGAAGTCCCTATAAAAGACTTGTGTATAAAAGAGTGAAAAGGGGGCAACACACCAGCCTCAAATCATACTAGTCCCTTTTATTCAGTAAAAGACCATATCTAGATTCCTAAGTACAAGAGATTTTCCTTGTTTTCATGTTAAGCCATATTCTGTGAGGGTTCTGGGCTGGAGTTGGTGACACTACCACGCTTCACTCTCCATACAATTGCAGCTAACAATTCCTGAACCTCACCTTGTCTAAAGGCTCTATTGTTAAAATTAAATCAATGCCTCTTAATTTCAGTGCAAAAGCAAACAAACAAACAAAAATGAAGCTTTTATATGTATTCATATTGCCACGTGCTAACGCAATCTGATTGGCTAATCAAACATGAATGAACCCATCTTCTTAAACACCGTTCCAGGTACTTACCTGAGGTCAAGGGGTAAACATGGGGAATCTTTCTAGAGATCCTGAGGCTTCAATTGTCTCCTGACTCAGGTGGCATAACCCAGGGATAAGCATATCCCAGTTTAGGAATCTCAGATGTATATGAAAGTAACTGGCAGGATATGGAAGGTAAAATTGAAACTGAATTCATAAGGATGTTTCAGTTCCAAAAGTATGTGGCTTTATACCAAGGGTTTCCAACCAGCAAATGACAAACTGGTAGGTCTGACCTCCTTATATGCTGTACCATGGATGCCCCATAGGAAAGGCAGGACTCAAGAGAAACATCTCCTTCCCTTCCTGTCCCCTCCCCTCAAGTTCACAGATGGAAAGATAGTGAGGGATTGTACACACCACACATCTACACCCACACACATTTTAATGTCTTAGGAGAGGGACAATTAGCTTCCGTTCAGGAGTACTGGGTCCCCATTTTCTACACATACTAAGCAAAAGGGATAATTATGTATAGAGATAATGATCTCCCCAACTCCACATGAGTTACCTTTGGTTATCTGAATGAATCAAGACAGTTTTCTAGAACTGGTTCCCATCCCTCTGAATATAGTTTCAGCCCTAGTAACCTCAGTCTTGTACATATCACAGAAAAGAAAAACAGAAAGCTCTCTAGGAAGAGAAAAATAGAAAGATGGGATTAACCTGAATACAAAAGAATGAACTATTGGGACAACTTCCTTTAAACACTTCCTTCGTGGCAGAACTGAGAAATGCCAGAACTCCAGAGGACAAAATGCTTTGTGACACCTTTTCTAGTCTATCAATAAAATGTTCTTTTCAGGCTCTGAGCAACCCCACCCAAATTCTTGGATCAAAGCACTTTTTCACCCCTTATTTCTTTCAAAAGAGGGTCTCAGCAAACATACATTTTCATTATATCTTTTACAAAATAAAGTGAATTTTTTATAATTATAGAAATAATTCATATTCATTAAGGAAAATTAGAAAATGCCAAAAATAATAAATAAAATTAAAATGATGTGAAATTCCATAATCCACAAGTACCCACTGGTAATATTTGACATGTTTTTTGAGTAAATAAATACTTCTATGTGTTATAAAATGGGAGTAAGATGGATAAACAACTTGTATTTCTATTTTTAACTATATTAATTTGAAACTATGGAGCAATAACAACTAATTTAATTATTCTTGTAAGTTATTTCTGTTTCCATATATTTTCACAATTATGAGCATTGCTGGAAAAATGATTCTGTATGGACAAACTTGGTTCATAATTCTAACATTTTCACAAGGAAAGCAAATTCTTCCTTAGAGATAAATTTTAGGGTAAAGGACATTAACATTTTAATGCTCTTTTTACTTTTTCTAAACCTTTAAGAAAAATTTTTACCTATTTATAGTCTCACCAGTAGCAAAGAAGCATCTTCTCAGGATCAGGTACCATTGTTTGTACAAACAATTTAATAGAAAAAGAACATAAACCTTAGTTTTATTTGGGCAATGTTTCTAGTATTGCCCACATAAAACTTCAGTATTTAGTCTCTTTCAAATTAGAGATATAATTCCTGTACAACATTTGTTGCAGATATGTTTCCAAACATACTAACATTTCAATAAATGGCTCCAAACAAGTTTACTGAAGAGGTTCTTGGCTTTTCCTGAAGGTCCTCCAGAAAACCACTTCTAAGAAAGGCTCATTTTTTTTAATCTAAAGTAAAACATACTGCATGATTTTCTAATGCTCCCTTTATAGGATATTTAATTTCCTATACTTGACAAGGTAAAGGAATTATTCAATGGTAGAGAATCAGTCAATATCATGTGTAGAATATAATTCCCAGAAGAAACAGAAGATTCATTATAGCATATACTCTCTTTCTTACTAAGAGAACCCCTATGGCCATGTGCACAGCTAAAAACTTTCCTGGCCCCCTATACACGTAGAGGTTAATAGCCATAAGACACCTCCCTCTTGTTTTGAATATGTATATGATTCTGGAGCTGCGGCAGCTATTTCGTGACTAAAAGACAACAAACATGAGAAAGCAGAGTGAAAATATTCAGAGTTTTATTAACGTCGTTGATCAGCTAAACCAATGCCAGCAACTGCTGACCTCTGAACTACTTGTCAGGTGAGAAAAATAAACCCCTCTTTGCTTAAGTCATTGTTAATCCAGTTTTCTGTTACTTGCAGCTAAAAGCAATCCTAATTATTACAGGTAGCTCTTACTGAGAATTGTACTTGAGTTCTGTCATCCCAGAAGACAGCAGAGGTTAAGAAAAGCTCCCACCCTTTGGGTTCCAGAAAACAGCTTATCACAAAAGAACCACCTTTCCCCTCATGACTTAGATGAGACTCACATACATGCCCCTTGTTTACCTGTCACAAGGCCAGACATAGAGCGTCTAAATTCCCTTTCATTGCCCTGTAAATGATTAGCTAAACTGCTTATTCCACTGATCAATCGGAACAAAATACTTGTTAACCAAGCTAGTTAAGCACCTCTCCTTCCTCCAGACCCTAAACTTTGGCCCAGCCTCAGCCTGAGTCAGCATCCAGCACCTCCTGAGAATGGACTGGCCTCAGGGTAAGATATTCTCTGTTCTCTTCTCCAGTCAGGCCACCTTCATCTCACTTGCCCATACATGGCTTCTAGCCTTGCTGACTTCTCTCT